TCTCTCTCTCTCTCTCTCTCTCTCTCTCTCTCTCTCTCTCTCTCCATGCACATGTCTATGCATGTAAGCGGTCTTGATGCAGTGATATCTGTCTACATAGATCTATGTCTATCGCGCGGGGCCGGTGGCCCGACCGCCAAAAACACGGTTAACGTGCGACACATGACGGACCGAAGCAAAGCGAATCTCCTCTCCCTCTGGGAAACGTTGGCGATGAGAGAGGCAGGGGTTGCCCCCCCTTCATCTTCTTCGTCGCTGTTAGTGCCTCCCAGTGCTTCTTCTCTCGGTCGTTGGTCCCGTGCATGCTGCCCCTCCCCTTGCTCGTAAAGAAGCACATCCTCGTCGATAGGAAGGCCCTCGTCAATAATGATATTATGAAGTATGCAGCAGGCGATGAACTGTTTGCAGATGTTTTTTATGTTAGGGATTTGTCGCCGCCCGAGACAGCGCCACATGCCTTTCAACCTCCCGAAGCATCTTTCAATGCTTGCTCGCAGAGTCGATAACTTCGTGTCGAAGGCAGATTCCGCTGCATTGCGTGCATTGCCCCCGAAAGGGGTTATCAGCCATGGCAACAAAGGAAATTCGGCATTACCCAAGACGTACCTCCCAATCAATGTCCCATCAGACAACACGTTTGTTCGCCTGGCGAATGGCTCCCTACCCCCGTCCGCACGATTATCAACGTCTGAAAGTCGCCATACGTGCGAGTCGTGCACGGAACCAGGAGCCCCCACGCACACATCAAGAATTCGAAGATTTTCATCGCACACGACTTGAGCAATGATAGAGTATTGCGTCGTTCTATCGTAGTACGACTCCGCCTCCCCTCCACGTGGCTTGTTCATGTTGATATGGGTGCAATCAACAAGCCCGACACAACCGGGGATTCGGGGAATCCTCTCGCCTCGAAGTGGTCCAGCGTTGCTTGTAGACGTTCCCCACCCGACCATTGCAGCTTGTCCTCGTACTCGCGCAGGAGGGCATTGCAAACATCATGAGTGCATCGGACAGCGCTGTGTAGACCGATGCCGAAGTCGTTCCCGCACTGACGGTAATACCCACCAGTCGCCCATCTGTACAGAGCTCATGTGAACTTCAAGCCCGCTGCCAATGGCACACGCCATGGGGTCACTTGCCTTTGGATGTGTGGAGCGATGCGGGCCAAAACGCGGACGAAAGTCGGTTTCGTGAGCCTCGTGTACGACCAAAACTTCTCGTCTCGTCGTGCTCCGCAGAGTCCGCACCCTCCATCAGCAGCTCCTCCCACGTCCCCCCGACATGAGGGCGCACCCAAAAACGCAGCCGACCGCGGATTTTGAAATGTCGACCTCTCCCTCGGACTTGCCTGCGTGCGTCGTCAACCGCCAAAATGAAAGTCGTTGTGGATGTCGTGTACAAGGCCACAATGCTTGTTGCCACGTGCAGGATGATAAGTGCAACCATGAATGTCACGTATTGCCTCATCCTCAGCCATCGCACGGTAACCACGCACATCAACACCACTTCGGCCGCTTCCATGGTTGCAGGCGTCAACGACATCGTTGTGCGTATGTGCGCCTTTGCACCCCGCTCCCACCTCAGAAAGCTGCCCACGTCTACCTTCGTCTTCTGCACCGCCTCAAAGGCTATGGTGTGTGCAATGTTTCCTGCAGACCACCCCCGTCACCAGCGACGCAACGCCACAACGTCGACGCGTGTGTTTCCATTGCGGTGGTGGACGGTACCATCTGCGGCCCGTTTTCAAAAATTTGCATGGAACCGACCTAACAACGACTCTCGGGTCGGTGGAGCAGTCCCAGTGCGACAAGCGGCTGGGCGAGGTTCCACTCTTTCCTGACCGTTGGCAGATGCCGTGTCACCCGCTTCGGGAGGCCCGGCCATACGGTGGCCCACAAGAACGTTCGTTACAGTGGAAGGCCAAAAAATCCCGCCGCAGTACTTGGGAAAGGCCCGTGGATCGCGTTCGTGTTCTTTTTAGGGACTTTCTTGTTTTTTTCTGTTTTTGTGTATTGTGGGATCAGCGCCTAACGTGTGTCATCCTTGCGCAGAGGGGCCATGCTAATCTTCCTTCTCTGTATCGTTCCAATTTTTAACGGATGTCCCGAAGGACGTTTTTCGTGTTTTGGGGAAAAGGGGACGGGCTTACTTGAACATGCGTTAAAATTGGAGCAAATTGGAGCAAAGGTGACGGTCCTCTACTTTGGACGTGCGTTCGGACTCCGTCCTCTACAACAACGAGGGCTTATCTTAACAACCAGAGTTGATCCAGGGGGCATAGTGCCGATATGATAGTTTCAACACAGGAAAAGCAAAACATGAAATGTTGTCCTTCGGGACATCCATGAAAATTGGAACGATACAGAGAAAGATTTGCATGGCCCCCCAAAAAAAAAAAAAAAAAAAAAAAAAAAAAAAAAAAAAAAAAAATTTTT